AATAATATAAATTTTATTAATTATTAAAAGTTCAATGCTTTGTCATTGTTTTTATGTATGGGTTCATGTTCGTACCTTAAATTTCACTTAAAAGTAAGTGACAGTACACTGACTCATTAATAAACTTAATAACTTGATTTCGAACAAACGGGAGCGAAAGGGATTTCTTGTTATTTCCATAGGTCGCTCGAATTCACGGCCCATTGCGCCGCGGTGTTCGATTGATCACGCACATTTACGTTCGGGAAATTGGCTGTGCAATTTACCTACTTCCCCTGCGTGTTCCTCATTTTGTCGCATATAAACCCGCTAACGAAATGACATCTCTATTACGCGGGGCGACCGCGTGCGTGCGAGAGGCCGCCCGTGTTGCATATTACGCTTACACGCGAGTGAACACGCACTTGTATTCCCATTAGGGTGGGTACAGTCTAGGGCGTACATACATTGCGAGCATAGCCGTGGATCGCCGCAAGGTATCGCACGGTTACGGTTAGTTCGTGCGAGAGTATCCGAATGAAAGATTGATTGACGACAGGGTTGAATATTCCCAGCTTCAATTTTGTTTAACAGCTTATTAAGAAAGCGCAGGCGCAGGTGTACAACTTTTTCTTTTTTTTCTTCAAATTCTTCACGACGTTTTGTAATATTTAAATAGGAGCCTCCGAAGTTTCCAGACAATCTAAACTTTCAGCTTAAACTCTCTATTAAAAAGTTGGAAGTTTTGATTGAAATTTTATATTTTCAGCGTCAAGCTCCCGTCTCTTATACAGGATGTTCCAGAAAAAGTGTCAGAGCTGAAAAGGAGTAATACTGGAGGTGTTCCTGGACGACAATTTCCTTTGGTAGAATGCAAAGTGTACCATGGTTTTTGAATTATTAACGAAAAACACTGACCAATGAGAGCACGCGTAGGCCGCGCTTAGCCAATAGATTGGCGGCTCGGACTGTGACACTCGGCCGTTGGTCAGCGCGGGCCTTACGCGTACTCTCATTGGTCTTTAGTCGCGTCTTTAATAATTCAAAAACTGTGCCTCACTTTGCATCTTGCCAAAGGAACGCCATATTACAGTCCCTGTTGTTCACAGGATGTCCCAGAAAAAGTGTCAGAGCCGAAAAGGGGTAATACTGAAGGTTCCTGGACGACAATTTCCTTTGGTAGAATGCAAAGTGAGCCATGGCTTTTGAATTATTAACGAAAAACACTGACCAATGAGAGCACGCGTAGGCCGCGCTTAGCCAATAGAGTGACGGCTCGACGTGGCTTAGCGCGGACCCCATATGCTTTTATTGGTCAGCGTTTTTCGTTAATAATTTAAAAACCGTGCCTCACTTTGCATTTTGCCAAAAGAAATTGTTGTTCAGAAACACTTACAGAATCACCACTTTTCGGCTCTAACACTTTTTCTGGGACATTCTGTATACAGAATTAGGGCAGTAAACGTCGGTTTACTTAAGTCACTGGTTTTAATCGTGGAGGAATGGTCAACGGAGAGAGAGAAAGAGAGAGATTTTCTCCCATTTACAAGCCTGTTCCCAGGTTGTTTCGTTTTGGGCGTCAACACCCCGAGCCGCAATTCAAACAAGTTTGCGACCAAAGTTATGGCCCTAATTGGCAGTTCTTCGAGCGGTCCGTGAGCTGGCATCCCGAAGGCAGATTATATCATTACGCGCATCTGGCACGGTATCAACCACGGAAAAGTTAGCCAGCGAATCTGGACGTTCGACCATCTCGTGGGAAGTAACATCTGCCGCGTGCGATGCCCCCTCCTCACTCTCTCTCTCTCCGTGAAAAAGGCTAAACTGCACGTCGACGCAGATTCCCTCGTGACTTTTTTCCTGTCTGGATGCGAGTAAATCTGCTGCGTTGCGACATCATTCGGCGTTCGATAAACGAAACTATACTAAATAAAAAATGCACAGTTTATTCGATGTTATAATTCTGATTGGTCGATGTAAATCGTCCCGAGGATAAATGATGGGTAAAGATCCCGTTCGGAAAAGCCTGGGGGCTGTGAGAGGCGCGGAAAATAAGATCAGAGATCCAGCGATGAAAACGCAAACAATTGAACGGGTTCAACGGTGCCGGGAGAGGAGTGAGGGGGGGGGGAGGCGGCGGAGAGGTTAAGGGTAGAGGGGAGAGGAGTTAAATAATGGAAGTTCAAGCCGTAGGAAGGCACCCCAGGGCATTCTCGAGCTTCATATCTTTTACCTACAGCCTTTCCACCTACCCTATACCCTCCATTCATTTCTTCTCGCGGAGAGGCCACGCTTGTTTGATCCCTGACCCGTTCATAACGCGGAGGAAACGACTCCCGCGGAAGGCATCCGAACCGTCGCTTCAACGGCGCGCTCTTTCGTCCCGTGGCTTCGTTAAATTCGGCCCTTGTTGACCCGTTCGGCAAAGGACAACGTTCCCAGTCGTGTAAATCGTTCGCAGCCCTCGCTCTCGTTTTGCTCGGAAAGTCGTCCTCGCGACGAGGAATTGATTCTTGGCACGCACGGGAAACCATGGGAAAAAGTTTCGCTCCGCGGTGACTTACAAAGACTCGCCTAATGGAAAAAGGCAATCGAAGCGTAGATTCGCTGCATTCTTGCTCCGAGGAATTTATTAGAGATCGTGTTCAGCAAGAGAAATTAAGTGTCCGAATGGAATGACCGAGAAAGCGAGAGAAGTAACCTGCGAAAGTGTAACTATCTGCAAATAACAAATCTTTGGTTAAAATCATGGCGGAAGTAAAGTGCGTTCTTCCAGTGGTAACATTTTCGTCATCTACTAAGTATTTCATACGGCGGCCATATTGACACGAAATACAATATTGTTGTTACAAAGAAGGCCATGAAATTAGCTGCGTAACAGCATAACTTATGCATTTCTACTATAGTTAAAGTCATAGTGGAAATACATAAAATGTGTTCTTCCGATGGTACCATTTTCGTCCCCTACTGAACATTCCATACGGCAGCCATATTGGCACGAAATACAATATGGCTGTTACAAAGGCCATGAAATTAGCTGCATAATAGCAGACCTTATATATTTTTCACTATGGTTAAAATCTACCGGTGGTACAATTTTCGTCACCTACTGAACATTCCATACGGCGGCCATATTGGCACGAAATACAATATGGCTGTTACAAAGGCCATGAAATTAGCTGCATAATAGCAGACCTTATATATTTTTCACTATGATTAAAATCTACCGATGGTACAATTTTCGTTACATACTGCGTATTCCGGCGGCCATATTGGCACGAAATACAATATGGCCGTTAGAAGAAAGGCCATTAAAGTCTCGATTGACAATAAGAACGTGAACAAAACCGCTGGCGACGATCTATCCTAGTTAAGATTTATCAACCGTGCATCGATGCACTTTTAAAGTTCGTTCGGAACCGGAATGGGGGTGAAACAATTTGCCTGCATCGACAGCTCATCCATTATTGCGATATCAGTAAATTCGCGTTATGCCCGAGAGAAAGTCACGAAAGAGATGTTCCACGGTAAGTCCCGGGAGTTTCTTATTACTTCGTAATTGAACTGATTTATTCATTGAACATCCGAAGAAGTTCCCACGGTGCCGATCGGTAATCTCGGCGGCGGCGACGATGCGGGAAGTTCCTACGCGCCCGGGGGAACGGAGTACGATGAAATTTGTATTCTTTATACGTACAATTAACCCGATTTATATCGCGGTCGCACGTCGAATCCTCCCGGTCTTCGTAAAAAGATTCATCGGACCGGGACCGGAGTTACGAGGGAAGGTTGGAGGGGAGGGAGGGGGAGAGGGGTTGGCAGCCAGCAAACGGTTCGACGAATACGAAATCGTATTTGTTGTTCGCCGTAATTCAGCTCAATTACACGGGGACGGAAAGTCGTTAGCCGTGAAACAGTGGCGAGGGTAAGGAGGGAGCCGTAGAAAAAGGATAAGGACCGTTGATGAAAACGAGGAACGGGCACTGCCGCGGTCGCATTAGCCATTCCGCACGAGTCGCCCGGCTAAGCGACCGGCGACGAGTATGTAAATACGTGCGCGCATGGATGCGGGAAAATTGAGCGGATGCGAGTAAATGATAGTACGTGATCGATCTTAGCAGAGTCTAAAGAGGAGAAGGTCTTGTAACGTCGCGTCGCGTCCAATGGGAAACACGCCTTGCTCGGCGACTGCCTCATACGAACTTCCAGCTGTAAGAGGAAAACCTCTTGCTCTCTCTGCGCACGTGATTACGGTAGATCCTTTCCGAGCGATGTAGTACATCGATCGAAACCGGACAACGTCACCGTCGAGTGTCTAACAGAATTAACAAGAGTTCCAGCGGGTTTGTCATTAATTATAATTATTATGTAAAAACATAAGTTATGTTCCTGCGCATTCATTTGAACAACTAACCACGGGAGATTCGACTAGTCGGCCATTTTAGATTTCTAACCAATCACAGTCCGGGCGCTCGTAACACAAAAAATGGAACAATTTTTTACAGTCTGCCATTGATAGGGGAAATATTTACAGGCACAAGCTGTAGATAGATGTACTTAAAAATCTTCGTTACGTGTTAATGCATACTTAAACATTAACTTTAGTTAGCAAAAAGAACGTAGATTCTTGAAACAACTTTCAAACAGTCTGCCATTTATTTGAGCACAAGGCAAGATTGCGCAATCCATGAAAAGCTTATTGGCAGATGGTTTTCTCCAGTACAAGAATAAAGCGTACTTATGTTAGTTAGCAATTAAATCGTATAAGAACAATCGTCTAAGAACAATTTTTTACAATCTGCCAAGCTCAATTTAGGCTAATGTTAGCGTAAAGTTGACGAAATTTCACAAGGCAGACTGTTTGAAAGTTGTTTCAAGAAACTACGTTCTTTTTGCTAACTAAAGTTAATGTTTAAGTATGCATTAACACGTAACGAAGATTTTTAAGTACATCTATCTACAGCTTGTGGCTGTAAATATTTCCCCTATCAATGGCAGACTGTAAAAAATTGTTCCATTTTTTGTGTTACGAGCGCCCGGACTATGAT